AGCTGCTAGCTGTGCGATACTTCATCGAGTACTATAAACAATATTTACTAGGGAGGGAGTTTATTGTTAGGACTGACCATCAGGCACTGGTTTGGCTTTTCAGTCTCAAGGAACCAAAGGGGCGTATAGCTCGTTGGATAGAAATATTATCTCAATACAATTTCAGCGTGCAGTACCGGCCTGGTAAAAAGCATGGAAATGCTGATTCCCTTTCTAGAATGTGTATTAATCCAAGGAATTGCACTTGTGAGAGTAATGAAATTGACTATATGGAGCCTCTACCTTTGAAGTGTGGGCCATGCAGTAAATGCAGGAAGAAAACTAAGGAGATGTTGAGTCAATTACTGGAGGATCAACCTGACCAAGGGATAACAGATGATAAGCAGTCAACTCTACAGGGATCAGATGATATAATAAGGGCCATCACTACTAGGTCAAGAGGAGAAAATCCAGCACCACTTACAGGTGAAATCAATGTGTCTGAATTGCAACAGGATGACCCTGATGTTAAAATTGTGTATCAGTGGGTGAAGATGAACCAGAGAGTCAGTCATGCAGAGGTACGTAGACTTAGTCCTGCTATTCGCCATTACTGGCATTTATGGAACTCCCTTTGTATTGTTGACAATGTTTTATGTAAGAAATTCTACCGCCGATGCGATAGTTCAGAGCATCTGCAGATCATTGTACCACAGTCCTTACGAGGAACCATTTTAAAATATATGCATGACAGTTTAATGGGAGGACACCTTGGAGTTAACAAAACATATGGTAAGTTAAAACAACGGTTCTATTGGTACGAGGCCAAAGAAGATGTCCTTATATGGGTAAGGAAGTGTGACACATGTGCCCGGAACAAACCTGAAAAGAGAATCCCTCGAGCTAGATTAGGAGAAAACCAGGTAGGAGGGCCGATGGACAGATTAGCGACGGATTTGCTAGGACCACTTCCAGATACTCCTCGTGGTAACAAGTATGTCCTCGTAGTCACTGATCACTTCACTAAGTGGGTTGAAGCCATAGCTGTACCTGACCAAACAGCACAGACATGTGCGCACTACCTGTTACAAGTAGTCTGTCAATTCGGGTGTCCTTTGACAATTCTGTCAGGTCAAGGTAGGTGTTTTGAAAGTAATTTATTTCAGGAATTTTGCCATTTATTGGAGATAAAGAAATCAAGAACAAGTCCCCGGAACCCTAGATGCAATGGCTTGGCAGAGAGGTTCAACAGGACATTAGTACAAATGATTAAATCTTATTTGAGAGGAGAGCAAACCGAATGGGACAAACATCTACACTTTATCACTGCAGCATACAGAGCAACTCCACATGATTCTACAGGACTAACACCTAACATCCTCATGCTGGGGAGGGAGACTAGATTACCAGCTGATTTGATGCTAGGGAATAGTACTCCAGAAGGAATATTGCACAATTATGGAGAATATGTTGAAAATCTGAGACAACGTCTGTTAAAAGCTCATGAAGTAGCAAGGAGACACTTGAGACAAGCAGCCCACCACCAAAAGGAAACTTATGACATTAGAACCTGGCAACATCATTATGAAGAAGGACAACTAGTGTGGTATCTAAATGAGGGTAGAAAGGAGGGAATATGTCAAAAATTGCAACCAACTTATCTTGGTCCTTTTGTAATCACGCGGAAGTTTAATGACTTGATTTTCAGCATTCATTTAAGTCCGAGTGATTCTCGCGTTGTTCACCACAATAAGCTGAAGAAGTATGAAGGAAAAGACAAACCTGAGTGGGCAAAGAAGCTGTTAAAGAAACTGAAAATACCATGTCGATTTTAAGTTACTGGTGTTGTACAGCCTCCTCAAGATATTGGTTTTTGACATATAAAGAAAAAAGGGGAAACAGAACTCAGTTTTTTGTATGGTTGGGGGGTGGCTCTTTAGAAATTAATTATGTTCTTTTATTTTATGTGTGAATTTACATACAGATGGCAGATTTGGAAAGAGAGATCCTCCGAAGAGGAAGGGCCTATCAGTGTCTACTCTGTGACCAATACGAAGGGGAAAAGAGGCATGTCATTCCTCACATCTATAAATATCACATCCCATTGGACAGCGCACCCTTCTATTGCAGCCTGTGCCACTTCATCACCACCGAAAAGAAAAAACTGCAGGACCACATCACACATTATTCAAAACATCTGGAAGCAGCAAGTAACATGGCCGACAAGGGGAGGAGCTACCTGCATGAAAACAAAGACCCAATTCACCTGGTGGAGGGAAGCCACTACAGCAAGATGGGGAGAAAGGAGTCCCATGACCTTTGGGCCAGTAGGTTGAGGAAGACAACCTCCACCTCCACTATAGCATCTGACTCAGAAGTCACCCTAGATAGCCGCCCTACCCCAACTGCCACCACAGTTCAGCAAGATAAGGAAGTCCTGGTAACACCAGAACCCTTGATTGCGACAGAGCCAACAGAAGTGGCCAGCATTCCATTCGATGACTTCCTTGGGAATGAGCCCAACCTTGATTTTTTGGATCACATTTTGGGATACACCACTCCAGCACTGGACACACCCATTACATCGGGAAGATGCAGAGAAGTTTCAGGAAAGAAAGATGCTAAGGAAAAGGAGGAAGGAAAGAAAGATGAGGAAGAAAGAGAGGAAGCAAGGAGAGAGGAAAGCGATGAGGAGGAAGAGAAAAGAGAGGTAGCAAAGAGAAAGAATAGTAAGAAGAGGAAGAGAACAGAATCAAGCAGTAGTAGTAGTAGTTCCAGCAGCTCGAGCAGTGACAGCGAAGTTGAAGAGAAAACACCCAAAGAACAGAAACAACAACAAACACCACTGAGAACGGCACTTGTTCCAAAACTGGATACAATGAACAATCACTTACTTATGATTCACGATGTATTACATCATATGATGGGGGAGATGAAGAAACAAACAGCTTATTTGAGAGAAATAAGAGATGCCCAACGTACAAACTTAGGAGCGGCTAACACAACACCCTCCATAGTACCAGCACCTACACACACTAGAGAGGAGGCACAGTCGAGAAGAAGATCAAGGTCACCAAGAAGGAGGAGAACGCCCCTCAGGAGGAGACAGACCTGGAGGAAGTAGATGTTAATAGTGTTGAATTTGTTTATATATACACATGTATATCTATATTTGAAGAGATGTGTATTTTTATTAATATTTTTGAAGGAATTCAAATGTATTTTAAATATTTCATGATTAAGTTATTTGTTATTGAAGTTTCCGTGAGGACACTGGAAACTTAAGAGGGGGATAAAAATGTAATGTTATGTTGTGTTGTTATATTGAACATTATGTTTTGAGATGGTCCCTAAATGCTGTCGATTGAGTTAACTTTACTTGTTTTATAGTTGTAAATTACGGGAAACTTGCATTTTACAATATTATGTTATGTTCAGGTACTTATTTTAAAAGTTTAATGTGTGTAATTTTATTTATTACTAGATTATTGTAATGTTATATCTTACGTATTAGTTATGTTGAGGAAATTCGAACTGATATGTCACACGTGCGTTTCATTTCATGGAAATCATTAAATATTTTAATTGACACACTTACTGATTCATTCCCAGGCTATATGATGCATTTCTTGTATTGTTAGGGTATATGCACTGTCTTAATTCCATTATTTGTACACTTTTTGAAGGAAGTTGTCAGCTACTATTTTTTGTAGTTCATAGGTTGACCTTTACTTCCGGGTCAATTTGCTGTTTTTAGATTTCACCCCTATTAATATTCATACCTCTTGTGTCATGACGTGACATTGTAAGTAAACAAAGTAATATTTTTATCTTTATACATGAGATGTTGAATGAAAAGTAGTATTTAAATTGTATAATTTTATTTGTTTGAAAGTTTTAATAATGGAACTATGTTGCACGAGACATTTTCCGTTTACTGTAAACGAAATCTGTTCTTAGTAGACGAATTTTTAGAGTAAATTGGTTAAACGGATTTTGACGGGGTATAAATATGACGAATCCGTCAATTTTCGTTAGTCTGCAACTTTTGGGTTTTAAAGAAACAAGTGGGGTTAGCATAATTTTTAAGATGTAAGTTTATTTATTCATTTGGAATTTTACTGGGTAAAAACTAATTGAAATTGCTAGGAAATATTTTTAGGGATTTAGATTTGATCACATATTTCTGAGTTTGGAAATCTGATCAACTAATTTGTTAATTAGTGTGAATAACTTAAATTAAAGTCACATATTCCGAGTTATCTCTGAATCAGACTTTACAAAAGTTGGGAATTTTATCAATTTATTAATTAATTGCAAGTAATTTAATTAAAGTCACATATTTGGAGTTATCTCTGAATCAGACTTTACAAAAGTACTGTTTGTGAATTTACTTGAATTCTGGTTTTATTTTGGGAGAAATTGAGAAACAAAGGAATTAATTTCATGTTATTTTGAGGAGGCTATTAATTTATTATCTTGTTAAAAGGGACTATTGCACTAAATAAATTGTGGAACTTGAAGCAGACTCTTCATTTTGTTTCTTTGGTACTTAAATAGTACCTGGTGTCAGAAAAAAAAAAGAATTAAATAATAAAAGAAATAAATTTAAACTTCAAAATTTGAACTGCACCATCCTGACAGACTCAGGCAGTTCAGAGTGTAGCGTCAGCACGTTACAGTATCAATGATTACGAAATTCATAGTTTACATTGTATCTACATACTTCATATTGAATCTGACGATAATTGCCAAATAACATTCAAGAATAAACTGAATCCAGATCATGAGAAAGGCCTTTATAACTTGTTCAATACTAAATTTAAAAAACTGTATAGCATCTAGGCACTCGTCCAGCGCAAAGATAATTTTGCATCATCATCGTAAGCTGTCAAATAGCATCTTTAGATTTTTTGTTCTAATTACGGATTTGTAGGTGTTAAACACAACTGGTTTAAAAATTAATGTTTGGCTTTGAATTTCAATAATTAAGATATCAAAAGGAAGGCCATTATTAGTTTATATTTATTTTCTTGATGGAGGACTTTGTCCCTGTCCTGACCATGGTAAAGTGACCCATTGTGTGGAGTGAGGAGGCGTACCCAGTGTGGCCCAATGAAATGGTGTCGTTGTTGCCTGGTTGTGAGGAATTGTTATGAATCCAAATGTCCTTCCTGTAAGGATTAATCAAAGAATATTTATTTTAACTTGAAAATTATCAATCAGAACTATACAAGGCGTTCTATTTTGATCTACACTGAATTTAGGAACCTTAGACAGGTACCTTAATTACCATTTCAACTAATTAAGAATTTTTGTATTAATGTGAAATACACATGCAATAGATGATTTAAAGGATTTTCCCAATTGAAAGTGTATTCTAAAAGTATTTAAGTATAATAATTATTGTAAAACATTTTCGCCGATAGTATGGATTTATGGATGTTGCTTAACAACAATATGGAATGGCTTTTATATATAGCGGAAATCTCTTCTTTTTTTCTACGCTTACTTTTAATTTTATACGAAACATACAGTTGTCTACCGACCTTTTTGAAATAAGCTTGACCCATTTATCAAGATACATGCATATAATTATTTAATATATACGTTTTCCAGATATTGATATTGATATTGATATCTTTTTGAATTTAAGAGCTTTTTAAACTGTGTCAGTAAAGTACTGTAATTAAGTGTAGCGAGCTTGTACATAAAATTTCCAGTTACTTCATGAAAATTTCTATTCCATATGACCAATGACAACTACAAGCATTTTATTATAGCTTGGCCTAGTATGTGTCAAAAATGAGTTGTAACTTGCAGTACTCGATGTTAGCGCACCTGTTGTGGAGCTGGTTGTTTTCTCCGTACTTGTTGACGTCAGTTCCGTTGTTGACGTCATTTGTGTTGTGATCGTAGTTGACGTCATTTGTGTCGTGGTCGTAGTTGTTAGTGATCCCATTGTATTACAAAAATTGTGTTTACAACATCGTTTGTGAATATCGTCAGCATCTGCACAAAACTGGGGGAAAAACTCAATATCTTTTAATTGATTTTATGTTATTGTTGACGCCATCGTTAATAATGCACATTTTATTTTTTGTTGAAACTGAAATCGGAATGCTCCAATTTTTCAAAAAAATAAAAGAAAAACATATAAATTAACATTCAATGTTACATAATATAATAACAATAATTGCTGATTTTGAGGTCAATACTATGATAAAGCCACTTAAGGAACCGAGGTCTTCGGAGAGTTGCCTGATGGTGGCTCAATCATTGTATTGATTAAAAAAACCTATTTATTATCTGATTGAAATGAACAATTGAAACAAACTTGTTAATCAAATATTGTCATCCTTTTATGGTTGTTTACATTTGTTGAAGTCCTAGCGGAATTAACTCAATGGAAGAAGCAAGATACAAATTTAAATATAACCAGTAGAATTTTTAATTTGGTTTATCTTGATCTATTTTTGTTGCAGTGTAGAAAACTATTATAAATGTTATCACCTTTAAATCAGCTGTAGGCTATATAACGTTTTAGAGCCAAGTGTGTCAATTTCTCGATCTATATTTAGTCCAATGTAGGGAAAAATATGTTTTGTTTGCCTGCAGGTGAGCATATCTTTTCGTAACCAATTGTATCCATTTGGACGTTCCCGATCTATAATTTATAGGCCATTGTAGAAAAAATAAATGTTATGTTGATCTGAAAGGTCTCGGGCAGGTAACCATAACTTATCTACATGTAGTTTCTTCAATGTTGGATCGCAACTAATCAGAAAGCCAGGGATTATTCAAACTTATATCATAATAATGAATAACAACCCGATAGTCTGCAACGTTCTGTAAAACCATTAAGAGTACTCACTGTATCGTTGAAGCAAGTCATCATTGAAATTTCGTTGAATATTTCCACACCACACGACTAGTAAAATATAAAAGACGAAGCTTTTTCTTACTTTTGGTATTTTTTTTCCATCAATTTGGCTACTTTAACTATTATATAAGCCCCCCCCCCCCCCCAATAGCATAATGTTTTAATACAATTGTACATTAGGAATGACTCTAGTTCTTGGCCAAATTATTCGAGTATAACCTGGTTTGGGTCAGTTTACGCTTTATAATCCGCGAAGCGGATTATAAAACAGCGTAAACTGACCCAAACCAGGTTATACTCGAATAATTTGCCCAAGAATTAGAGTCATTCCTTATAATATAATTTTAAAATCATTAAATAACTAAGGGTGTAAAATTTCGTTGCTTTCCATTTGTTCAAATTTGCCGCTCAATAATACAACCGTAGTAACGGAAGTAACGGAAGTGATGGGAAGCGAGGGGAGGTAAAAACTGATGCATAGGCCTAGCGGCAGCCTTGTTGTTTGTTTACATGTGGCAAGATCGAATTATTGTTAAGTTAAAGGTACATTTATTAAATCTGGAATTTTCCATGAATCCTGAGGACTGGAAATGAGAGGGTTGTATGGATAGAGATGATTCAGCTGGTTGTCAGGGGTGTGTGTCCCCATACCAAACCAGGTTATACAGAAATAATTTGTGTTCCTTTTTGGATATTAACCAATCAGAGGCTAGAATACAAACAAAATTAAATTATATGCATATATAAAACCGAAGTTAAGTCCTTTCTACACAATCCACTGTATCTCTTAAACATTAGGAATCTTCTAAGAGGACATGGAATTTTTGGCTTGTTTTAGGAACTATTCTTCTACTTAATATATTTTTTAAAAAGATACATACTTGTTAATAGATGAAATTGATCAAACATAATGGATTTCCGTTAATTATAAAAAACACAATTGTAAATCCCTATTTTTTTAAATTATTATTTATAATTACATGTACATGTGTATTTCTAATTAATTCAAAGAAAATACAGCAATAAAACCCATTACCTGCGAATTTCTTCTGCACACCGTGTAATTACTCCTGGGACAAAGATTGAGGTCCTGGACTTTTGACGATATGAAACAATTATAGCAGTGGACTAAAAGAAAAGAAACGCTTCCATAGAAAGAAACATCATAGTTCAACCTGTCAATCAAAATTTGCGATATGTGTTTTTGTAATCTTATGTCCTAAAGTTACATAGTGAGTCAATATCAAGTGTCTCTTTTAAGATAATTGTATCATAAACCTAAAGAATTATGAGAAATATGAATAAGGTGAAGTTTTGAGATCTCAATTGCACAGTAAAAGCAAGAAAAGACTGCAGAATGTAAGTGCCGGAAATTATGGCATGGTTGTAATCGTCACTGTCAACAATGTCAAGGTCATGTGTCTTTCATTTTTAGCATTAAACTTGTAGACAACATTGAATTGGAGTAAGCAAAAGTGAGGAATACGTTCTGATCATTATTTTTTTTTTGAAGATTATATAAAAATCCTCGGTCATCTGATATTTATTTTTATGGAATTGACACCAAGTAACTTTTTCAACTTTTCTGCGCATGCGTACCTTAACGAGGAAGAAGTGAAGCAATATTTTCATGTTTGGGGCAAACAAAAAATTATTTTACTTCTAGTTTTCTCCATAAAAGTAGATTTTTTAGGTTCTGAAACCTGTAATTTTCTGAAACCTAATGCTTTCAAGAATTGAATAAAATTTGCATATGTCTTTCAAAAATTCTACTTTTGTTAATTTTCACGTTTTACCGTCACGGTGTCTCTTTTAACAACTCTTTCCCCTAACAGGCGTGCAAGCGGGTATATCTGCCTTATATGACAAACATTGTCCTTTAGATAATGAGTAAGATCTCCAAATAAGGAAACATTTAACCGTCATTATGAGTAGCAGCTGTGTGAGCAATGGTGTAACATCTCCGCCATGTGGAATTATATGCTATAATGTGGCAATGTTAAATACTAGTATATCAACATTTTTCAAAACAATTTATTCCTGATTCGTTGTTACCGTTCACGGTAGCTCAGTTGATACAGAGCTCGCTCCGTGATTTGGAGGTCGTGAGTTCGAATCTCGGCTGAGACTGACCTAAGTCGATAAAAATGGGTAGCAACTGTTCCTTCGCCATGCGCTCGGCACTTTGAATGAAAGTTGCGGGTTCATCGGATGAGACATTAAAAACCGAGGTCCCGTCTCACGGCAGGCGTTGGCACGATAAAGATCCCTCACTGCTCAATGGCCCTGAGTGCCGAGTAAAGGTCAAAATTTGAAGCCCTTCACCGGTATATGGTGACGTCTCTATATGAGTGAAAAATTCTCGAATGGGACGTAAAACAACATACAATCAATCAATCAATCAATCAATCTGATTCGTTGGATTATTTGATAGAAAAAAGTATAGGAATTAATGTAACTGATTATTAACTCACAGCATGTATGACAAGTCTTAGGACAAAATACGTTGGCGTAGTGTGCGTCCTGGCAGCGATCTGTGTGATTGACATGTCTCAAAGCATGACAAGCATGGCTGTCCACGTCTTCACAGTCTTTTGAATCTGTAAGAAGACCATTATAGATAGAACAGTGTGCAAGTTTTCTTTTAAGATCTTGTAGATTGGTTGTAGTTTGAAAAGTAAACTGTTTCTGTAATCATAATCATCATTTGCATGTACAAGACAAGTATCGTTTATAACATACATAGTCTAGCACTTTTTTTTGGCATGAGATCGATTCAGGCGAACTTTACAAGCATAAGAAAATCTCAGGTGATTAAGTAGAGAATATTGATATTTTTCATTCATTGGAGAAGATAGTGACGATTGGTACATGTATAAATCGCAGAAATTAATAGAAATTAATAAATAGCACATGTATCGATATTTATTTGTCAAATACTCGATTGAAACAAATCCTTTTATTTTTAATGAAAACAAGATGTGTTTGTGAAACACTGATGCCCCCGTATGGCAACTTATAGCAAAGGTTAAACTTTCTCAAATGCAAATCAAATAGTTGGTACCCAAAGTAAGGTCTTGTCTCGAGGAATATACCTGTAAAATATGAGAGCCCTAGTAGCAACCATTGAATAGATATGGAAAAGGTTAAATTCAAGGTCAAATGGTCGAAAATTAATGGTGCCTAAGGAAAGGCCTTCTCACAAGAAATATACTGTTGAAATATGAAAGCTGAAGCACCAATCGTTCAAAAGATATGACCTAAGTTTAAGTTTTTTCAAAAGTAGGTCAAAGGTCAAGGTCAATGGATTACAATTGTTGGTATATAAAGGAAGGTCTGGTCACAAGGATTACATATGTGAATTATGAAAGCCCTAGCACAAATGGTTCAAAAGTTATGGCCAAGGTTAAAGTTTTCCAAAAGTAAGTCAAACTCAAAGGCCAAGGTCAAAGGGTCAAAGTTGTTGGTATCCAAAGGAAGGTCTTGTCACAACGACTGCATATGTGAAGTATTAAAGCCCTAGCACCAATGGTTCAAAAGTTATGGCCAAGGTTAAAGTTTTTTCAAAAGTAGGTCAATCTCCAAGGTCAAGGTCAAAGGGTCAAAGTTGTTGGTATCCAAAGGAAGGACTAGTCACAAGGATTACATATCTGAAGTATGAAAACTCGCGAATATTTCTCGCAAGCAAACAAAACTTAGTTTACAGTAGATTCCTTTCTAAAGGTAGGAGATTTAATTTCTACAGGTGTATAGGAAATTTAATTTATTCACTAAATGTAGGGAATTTGAAGGTTTACTTTTACTTAATAAATGTAGAAGATGTGACTTCTACAGGTGTATGGGAAGGTTTAGTTTACTTACTAAATGTAGGGGATGTGATTTCTACAGGTGAATAAGAATTACATCGATCATGTTCACAGCAATCTCCTCTAGCAACAATTGAGCGTCGGTTTCCAAGACCATCATGTCTAAATGCATCACATTGCTAAAGTACGAAAGTCTTGCATACATAAATGTCACAAAATACTTGTCATTTAAAAAACAAATAAAGTTGATTAATAGATTATCATGCAACATTGTATGTCTCAAGTTATTGAAAAATGAACATGGCTTTTCAGAGTAAATTTATTAGAATAGCCAAGATTTTTGTGTCAAGCTGACAAATCCATAAGAACCTTCGTTTTCAGAAGCAAAAGCAAACAGAATTCTGGTATATACAGTCAATGACTTACATGCCGATCCATACAACCCAACCTATACACCATTTTGAAATCCGCGTTTAAGGCTTGCGTAACGACACATAACTGAAAATAAGCTCACCTTATCAGAGAAACATTTTAGTGCAAAAAGGACATTTTAGTCATTTATATTTAACAATATGGTTATCTAAGTTATTTTTTCTAAAATCTGTCAATATAGAATGTATTTTGTGTGATTTTCCGTTACCTGGTGTGGGTGACACTGAGTGGTCACTTTACAGTCACTAGGGTGAGTAGTTTCAGAGCAGGAATAACATGTCACTGCAAGAAAAATAGGATCATTGGAACTATGGATCAGATCGAGTTATCTATCTTGACTCATATTTCAAGGATTTCAAAAATTAATGGATGATGACAAAAACAAGAAAGTGAAACAAAACATATTGAAGTTAGCCAACTAGTTGGTCATATCGAAAGATCCATGTATGCATATAAATATTATATTATGTTACCATTTTACGTGCATATCCAAATCGTGTTACACTAGGCATATAAACCATATTCCATTCTCTTAAATATTTTTGCTATACTTTTCAACTCGCATTTCTTTTTCCTTTACTTTATGCATATTTATTACATATATATATTACATATATTATATATTACATATATTACATGAAACGTTAAAGTTACTTGACCATACGAGTTGATTTATTGTTACATTGTAATTGTTGAAGTAAAGAAATACGACCAATGTATCTGATATACATGAAAATTACAAGATGTTTTGTTGACTGTTTCCGGTTTGTAGTGATTACAGCGGGATGTGTAACAGCAGTCCCCGGGGAGGACCGTGTTCCGCCGGCCGGACACATTGTCATGGACAAAAAGACTGCAATTCTGGAAATACAATGAGCATGCATGTTAAATGGGACACTCAACAATGAATTTCTTTTTTTAAAAAACTACATTCACTTCTGAAATTTTACAAATTGTTTGCAACATCTGACAAAATTTTATCATAAAAACGTGTGTAATAAATGATAAATTTATATAACGTTAAAATTATTTTTTTAAAAAAAATGAAGCCGAATTTAACTTAATTAATTTCTTCTTCCTAAGATGACATTCTTTTCTTTCTCTCGAATTAAACAATACATACTCAAACAATGACCTCAAGAACAGCCTTATGTCAACATCAAAGATCATATTGACATAAATATATGAATGATATACATGTATATGATTCTATCATCATTTTCTAAAAACATGTGTATCAAAATGCATCTTATTATGAATGATAATTAAAACTTTGATGCTTTCATTAAATCTGCAACCCCTTGAGATGTCTTCTTACATAAATATTATATTTCTTATTTTAAATTACAAACAGAAGGCTTCTCATATTTCCCAAACTTCATCAAATGCATGTACATGTTAATATATTTACGTCATCAAGCGATTAGACGAACACACATATACTGTTACTTATAAGGAAATTGGATACTTGCTGACGGATTTTCATTTTCAGATCTGCGAGTATCCCATTACCATATAATGCATGTACCACAAAACGTTCATGAGAATTTAAAATAAAATGGTTTATTCAGCATTAATTTTAATCAGTTTCATTTTCCTAAAATCGTTGTCTTTGGGGGAAAAAGTACAATTGTCTCAATTTCTTCTGTCAATGCACTTAATTTACGTCATTGTATGTAAAAGCGCCACCTAGTGGTTTAAATAGTTACCTGTTTGGGAAAACAGCCTTGTCTATAGGTAATTCTAAAGGAGGAATCAAAAGCAGCAGTGATAACACAGCTCTGCAGAAATAAAAGTTAAGTTTTCAAATTAAAAGAATTGCATTTTGGAGATTTTAAATTTCCGGGCAAGAGTAACTTAATCTTTTACAATGTTCATGCATCGGGTAGACAAACACATTACGGGTTAAGCTTTTAAAAATAAAGATAAATAGAATAGATGTATATAGCAATTATTTTATGTTTTTCAAAGTAAACTGATAATTAGTCTGAACTTAAGAGGGAGTTGATGAATTCATGAATGTGATGTTCGTATATCAGTCCTAGATGGTTTTAATGGCCAACTGTCGTCTGAGATTTCTATAATCAGACCTAGATATACCTAGGTATACTACGCCCCATGGCACGAACCAATGAATAGAGAATATACAACATAAACTTCAATGTTTGGTAAGCTTTTGAATGTCGGGTTCAAAGATGCACACATTTAAATTAATATTGTCGATAAATAATAATTTTCAATTTGCGCAAGAAAGCTGGTCTTGCTCGCATATTCTCTTCATACAAAGCTTGCATTCGATATGCCAAGAAAAATCGATTCAGAACCAAATAACCACATTAGTTATGTGATCTACTAGAAGAGTAGTTTTTTTTTTTTTTTAATTGATTCACATTCATTCAATGCAAGAGACATATTTTGATTACACAGTCAAGTGTTTTGCACTCACTCATGGCCCTTCTACTATATGTCTATATATAAATTTTTTGTTGGTTAAGATGGTTGGAGATACTTTGCGTGGGCTATGTGTGTAAATCTCACTTAACACGTGTAGAATTGTTATTTATCAACGTTGGCATTTACATTTATTAATTAGCACTAGTATTAACGAGGTCGTAGACTTCCTTGCTTATTGTATTGTATAATAGAGTGAACTCAACTTGAGTGTTAATACATTGTACATTTGAACTAACAGTCTGTGTCGTCGAAGATTTTTCTATTAATATATAATAGATTTTATCTATTTGCAGAAATAAGGTTTCAACATTTCCATTTGCAACAACATGTTATATATTATACTAAATGTACTACACGTGTAATATGCAAAATTTTTCTTTCATGCATGATTATCTAACTTCGCTAAGGTATTATTTCTCAGTTGATTCGATACGCAAGAACATGCTCTACGTATGAACAATTTCTAAAACGAGGCAAGCTATTGACAAACAAGTTGATGAAACAAGCATATCAACAGTCTCTTCTAGTCCACTGTTATGTCATCTTTCCGCAAGTTTTAAAGTCGATACAATGACCTTGTCAGCACATACAACCTATCATTGAGTCAAATGCTGACTGACGTTTTTCATACTAATTGTTAGGCCATTATTTAAACACTGAACTGTCTATGGATTTTTCCCAGTTTTTTTTCCCGATCATGACAATTGAGCACACGGCGGGTGTGACCGGTTGGCAGGGGATGCTATCTCCTCCATGGCACCTGATCCAACCTCTAAATTTTGAGGTCCGTGTTTGCTCTGCTCCAAATTTGTATCGTTTCATTGGACTTTCGAGATTGAACACTGTTCGTTATCTTCATATTTCATTCTTTTCCAAGATTCAAAACAAAACTGAAGATTTAAATTAAATTGTATGTTGATATCGCAATGTCGCCACTTTTGATGACTTTAGATCAAAAGGCACAAAATGATACTAAGAAAGTACTTATAACAGTGTCAAGTGTTTACTAAATTTATTTATGTCCATCCTCACAAGTGATTTATTTATGTCCATCCTCACAAGTGATAAATAAACAACGTAGCACATTTATTACCAATATTCCACTGACAAACATTCATAAATCTGCAAATTCTAGGGGGTTCCTTAGCCCCTCCCCCACGACCTCATTGCGCTTGATCCAGCAATGCACGTGCATTGTTTATAATGGCGATTTGATATGGAACAAAACAGTTCTGATGTATGTGTCAGTTAAATATGTACGTAGTGTGTTTTGATTTTAGAATCCAATATTCTGTTTACTAGGCTTAACAAAGGACATTAAAACAATTAAAATCCTTCCACTATATTCTGAATTGCTGTCTAGATTTCTATATACTAATTGCAAAACTGAGAAGATCACAGAAACTATGTATGAGCACCACCTACAATTTCTAAATTTTTCATCTATATAATGTAATCTGTAGGACACGGCGAAATATATAAATGTAACGAATATGAATAAAGTCTTCGAACTAGATCCATAGCTAAAGAACAATATCAAGCAATGAAAATGAATATCTGATATATTACCTCAGATGGCTGACAGGTTGCTGTTTTGGTGCAGAGACCAGGATCATGAATATCGTGACAGTTATTACACGTCACTGCAGTAAAATTAAAAAGAAAACTCTGATATGATCTGTAAGATAAACATATACAAGAGTGGGAAAAAACTTGTGTATTATCACTGCGTTCATCTGATTTTAAATTATAATAAAAGGAATTAATTACATATATATGTATATATTTTAATTACACTGGTTTCTGCAGGTGTACGTGAGAACTCTAATTCTTTGCAGTGTAAATCCTGCGTCAGTGAAATCTACTAACAATATTCACTGTATGGCATATTACGCAATAGTGAGAACTAACTACGGTTGTCAGTGACAAACCCGTGTATATACACAACGTGTATAAACCCGTATTTATATATCTTGATTATATTTTTACACTTGCTTAGATCCCCAGTTGACACACTGACGTAGCAATATACTAAAACTTCCATAAGTAATTATAGTACAGCTGTAAGGAAAAATCTTTCTCTTCTGGGAAATCCAGACAATGCTTGGTGTAGTGTTAATTTTTAGGTCATACAGCATAAGGATCTAAAAGCTGCACGTCATGGTATTAGTTTAGTTTAGGTTTTATAGTTTTGACTTGTAGATGTCAGGATAAATTAAAACAAAAGATAGCGTTGATCTCACATAATTGAGATCTTCTGTGTCTGGCTTTATTCACTAATTTGATAGCTATCATTACATCAAGATTTGTTTTTTAAGTCATTCTGTTCATAATTATAGAGTCTGTCGGTGCAAATCTTCCTCGTGGGATTTACAATTGTTACAGCAATGTTACTGTAAATTTTACAAGGATCTGATTTTTAACTACCAGATTAAGACTTGAAGTAATGTATATCTTACTATACTTGTGGGATTTACAGCTGATGTGGCAATATCTCAATCTTAAACCGAAAGATCTACAACTGTTTGGGCTTTATATACTTATAGTGATGGTAATTCTAAAAGCCGTGGCACCTACAGATGTCATTACAATACTTAGAAATGCCATTGTAAACTTGACAATGGTGGGATCTATAGATAATAGGGATGGCAATCGATTACAGAATTGCTAATCGGTTAATCGTAAGACGGTCCGACCGATTAATCGGTTAATCGTATCAAAATACACATTTTTCCCAAATAAATCTATTCATATACACAAGAAGACTAAAATTGAAGTAAGAAGTTAGAAACTTTCTGTTTATTTTCTTCATTTGGATGTACATATATTTTTCTTCAATTTCAATAGACAAGAAAAAAAAAAGAAACCTTGTCTCAGAAATCGGACACGAATTTTCCGTGTATAAATCACACAGGTTCATTCTGCATTGTCACCATAATCAAAATTATGCTTGAACTTCCACTTAATTTACAATGCTTATTCTAATGATATGATTTAATAGATCACGACAAAAGATAGGCATACTAATTCACAGTGCTTATCGGTGATTTATTTACTATCATCAAAGAATTACGGGTAAGTCGGGGTAACGGCATAACGTTTTTAAAATCAGTATTAATTAACACTTCCCAAACTGACCAATTTACCCTCTCAATCCGGAGAGCCATAATTACCTCCAATTTAGCTTGATAATAAGATTTGTAAAACGCTAAGTTATCGACTTGTCACAGGTAATGCACATATCAACTTTTTATGCAGAGGTTTCCTTTTTAAAATGAATTTTTAAAAAAATTGCGCTCAGAGTTACATATATTTTATTTTTTCCGACTAACCGATTACGGATTTTCTAACCGATTATCATCATTCCGACCGATTAATCGGTTAACCGGTTACAAATTGCCATCCCTAATAGATATCATTGCAATACTTAGTGATTGTACGTGTAATTCTTACATTGGTTGAATCTACATGTACAACTGTCATTACAATCCTTAGTGATTAAAAATCTTACACACATGGGATCTACATATTTTATTTCAATACATGTAATTAGTGACTGAAAATTACACCCGTGGGATCTAAGCTTACCGGTATGATACAATACTTAGTGATTGTAAATCTTACACTGGTGGGATCTACAGATGTTTACAATATTTAGTGATTGAAAGTCGTACAACCGTGGGATCTACTGTCATTACTATACTTTGTAAATGTAAATCGTACATCCGTGGGATGCACCATTGTTATTACAATACTTAATGATTGAAAATCTTAAACTGGTGGGATTAAGTGTTATTACAATATTTGGAGAATTATAATCTTACACTGGTTGGATGTACAGAGAGATGGTATTACAATACCTTATGATTGTAAATCTTACACTGGGAGACCTACAGATGACATTACAATACTTAGTGATTGAAAATCTTACACTGGTGGGAGCTACAGATGTTTTTTTTTTTTTTTTTTTTTTTTTTTTTTTACAAAATTAAGTGATTGTAAACCTAACATTGGATGGATCTACAGCTGTCTGGGCAATACTTAGAGTATTGTTAATCTTACATTGGTGGGATCTACAGCTGTCTGGACAATACTTAGAGTATTGTAAATCTTACATTGGTGGGATCTACAGCTATCTGGACAATACTTAGAGTATTGGAAATCTTCACAAATACTAGGGACCTCACGGGCTAGGGATGGACATCCATTGTACTCCGCACCGAAGGCTAAACCTGGAAACAAAGATAATCATTTTTAATTTATATTCCTTTTTTCCAGATCTCATCTTTATAAAAAAAAAAAAAAAAAAAAAAAAGGCTACAAATTCATCTAAATACTTTGAGATTTTTAATGCACTAAAAAGTCTTAAAAGTTATTATTTAAATATTATTCTCGAAATGACATTAAGTGGAAAATATATTGATTACATCACATGGAGCATCACAGAGATTTATTGTTTCTTGATTTAAGCAGCTACTCCTTTTCTGGCCAAATTTTTGTCAAAATCTCAAATTGATATAACATAATTTTGATAATAAAGCATATTTTTCATCATGTGTTTACAGATGAATACATGTATTTCAAAAACCTAGGCCTGCAACTCTTAGAATATATAATTATTTCGAATAAAACTCAAATCAATAAAAATCAAAATTCGGGACAGGTTAGCTAAAATTAGATATTGTTGGATATTATGACATCCTTCCCGAAATCAGGTGCAAACTATAAATAGATTTCAACGATACAATGCAATTGGTCATTGTAAGACCAAACGTTATGTCTTGAATGATATCGATTCTGTACACACATTATAAAGCCCAATATTAGGTATATAAATACCTACCTAAACAGGGGAGAAAAAACAAAGCCACGCACCACATACTTATATACTTACTCCTAAACTGTCGTAAACACAGGTCACAGAGTTTGAAGGTCTCTTATCTTCAGGATCGTTCACGTTCTATGGGAAAAAGTACTGCTTCACAGTTTAACTTGCACTGGACATTTAGTATATTCTGATTTCTAGAGACGTCAGTTATCATAGGTATTCCTTTTTTTATTGGTACCGTAATTAAAAAGCTGCAATTTAATATTTACTTTTTAAATGGTATTTATTCTGCTCATTTGCATATCAGCATTATTGGAGCTATACTGGTGGCAGATTCCATAAAGATTTATATGTAGAGAAAATACGAAAAAATCGCAAATTTTCATATACTATTTCGGATAAAGTTCTTCCGCCTATGGTTTAATTTCTTATATCTTCTGCATGTACCGGAAATAAAATTGTTGATACCAAACGGAAAGTTTTGACCGCCATTTTGATTTGAAATTTCGAAGCGAGAGTATATTGTTTTATTAAAGAGAAATGGCAAAAGATTGGCGTATTTATCATATTTGAAGATGATATGTTTATTGCAAGTTGATAGAGTTCTCTCGTCAATCATTAGTTGTAGGAAAAAGCCTATTTTCATAAAATACAAATGATTTATCATTTCGTGATTAAAATTAAAAAGTTCGTGCACCATTGTGATAAACTTATTGTAAGAAAGAAAGGAAAAAAAACGGTATCATGACGTATCAAGTGTAAATCACAAAAAATAACCACATAACTAAGACCGAAGCCTGAAGTAAACTTAAAATGAAGCAGACTCGCCCTCTAATATAATTATTTTTTTTAAGTGGATTTTCAAGTTTGTTTGTCTGTTTGTCAACAAAAACTTTAACATTGCCCATAACTTTTGATTGGGTGAAACTATGGCTTTAATGTTTTACATTTGTATTCCTTGTGACAAGACCTTCTTTATGGTACCAACATATTTTACCTCTTGACCTTGACGTTGGAGTTTGACCCTTTTTGCAAAAAATACCCAACTTTAACTTTGGTCATAACTTTTGAACAGTTAGTGCTAGGGCTTTCATATTTCACATGAGTGTTCATCGTGACAAGACCTTTTAAACAGTTGGTGCTAGGGCTTTTATATTTTGCATGTGTATTTCTTATGACAAGGTCTTCCCTGCGTACCATTAATTTTGACCCTTTGACCTTCACCTTGGAGTTAAGTGAATTTTCGAGTTTATGCAGAATCTTATGAATATTAATGAGAAGTATATCACGTGGAGTTAATTTCATGAATAAACCCTTTACCATTTCTCCATATAATTTGAGAGAACATATTACAACCAAATTTGAAATCTTTTCACCGCCGATAGGATATCTTCAGGCCCGGCCAGTAGCAACAATTTGAAAGGGGGTCAACTTAAAAAAAAAAAAAAAAAAAAAAAAAAAAAAAAAAAAAAACACACACACAGAAAAACATAAACTGCCCAAAATCAAAAATCCTGTTTCGTGATGATGGTGGTGGTGTGTGTGTGGGGGTGGGGGACCTTTCTCTAGCCTTCTCATTTTTTGTACATGACGTCATTCATGAGTAGTTGTCGAAGTTCGAAGTGTTTGATATGGAATTTCAATGATATGACTGTTATCCACAGATTAAAGATTTCGTAACAAACCATAAGGAATGAAAAGGAGTTAGCGGAAAGGGGAGGAAAATGAGTCGTTATTTTTCGCAAATATTTAATTTCAGATAATGTTTGATAAAGCAAATTCCTCGCTAGCATGACGGATGTTTAAGCAAATTTTCGCGCGCATTCGACCAATATCGTCTGGTGCGTCTGTGGCTGAAACACGCACTGGGAAAGGACTAATTAGTTCGACGAAAAGCACTAATTCGTTTGATATTGATGCAAGGATTATTATTCGCCTTGAAAATCTGGAGGAAACTTGATTAATCTGTCATAAACAAATTTAGTAACGAGACACCGTTCATCCATGTACTTTATTTAAAGTACACTGTGGAATAAACTTTAATAACTTTAATTGAAATTTTTAGGTAATTTTTTCATAAGAATTTTATTAAAATTGTTTTTAAATAAGATGTCTTCGAAGCCCTTATTTTTATAAGAATCATTATTGTTTTTTTTTATTGCTTGTGTTACATATTCTTCCCGTGTCTGAACTTCTTGTTATTTACATGTATCTGTTATTACAATGTACATGTTTGTTTCATGTAAAACAGTCTTTGTTCACTATTCTGTAAATGAACCCGGCTCTCTGTACTTCTGAGTACTTTGATTCTATATTGTAATTTTGTTGTCATTACGTCAAAGAATCTGGCAAAGACAACGATAATATAAGAAGTTAGATAGAGACTAGACAATAGATACACAAATTTATTCATATATACACGTACATGGCAAGAGATTTGGTCTTAATAAAATAAAGTATTTTACACTAATGTGTACTGGATTTATGTAGAAAAAACCAATGTTAACAGTATGCGGGAAAATATAAAAACACAACTGAAATCCTCGAATAATGTTTTTCTTCGGTACTTTTCTGCTTTACTTCATGTATAATTTGAAATGTATTTTCTTTTTAATTAAGAAATGAAAAAAGCAGGTGTCTGGGGTGTCAATCTTCATGAGGAAGTCTGTCGTGAATTCCTTTGAGAGTATTGTCATCTATAACCAATATTAAACCTAGAGACTGATGGAAATCTGATACGTGGCTATTCTTCAGTATTTTCATTGTCTTGTATGAATGAATGCTATTTTTAGCGAAGAAACATTGCATATAAAAAAAAGCGCTTTCATTGACAAGTAGAGCAGTCTTGACAAGATATAAACTTTTTTTTACACAGAACATGAATCACATGTCCGAACAGTCCACCCATGCGCACTTGATCGCCTGAGGGTCGGCGATGTTTAGATAGTCATTGCTGAAAGGAAGAGAGGGCTTAGCCTCCGGAAAAAGTCTGCGTTCCAAAGCTTCAAGTGAATTTTGGAATCTTTGATTTATATCGACGGACGGCCGCTGATTCTTCACAAGGTTATAAGCTTGTCGCAGGAGAAATCCCTCGTGGCTCATCAAATACTGAATTGCAGCAGCAGGTGCACGAGAGTTTCCATGGTAACTAAATATTAGCACGTTTTTCCCACATTTTCTAGCACCGTCAATAAATTTATTAATTTCTGAAAAATATTGTTCTATATCTTCCTTGTCGTCATCTTCGACACGGATGATCAGCCTCGACCGAAAGTGACGACTATCATGTCCACAAAGACATGGACAGTGTAGCTTCTTAGAGGAAGGCACTTGAGCAGACGACAAGTTGCTGATGTCGACCAGCGAATCGATCTTCAGGCGACATAGTTTTGGTTCATTGTATGGAACCTCGATACTCCCAATGAAGAGATAGTCCAGTATCTGAGACACGCAGTCGTCTCGATACATCCTCGACTGGAGACAGGTAGGAATTTTCAACGATGCGGTACTTCCTTGTGATTTTATGGATAAACGCGGAGGTGTGTCCGAATAACTTCGAATCAACCTTTGTTTAATGGCAACAATTGGACTTTTTGGTAGCTCTTGAGCACTTTTGCACTGTAGTTTAGACAGAGAATGGTTTATCTTTGGGGATGTTGAGTGGGTGAAAGATGTTGTAAATATGTCCGCTACTGGAAAGTTTCCTTTGTTTGTACTTGAATCACTGTTCTGCTTTGGAATGGCAAGATGTTGTACACGCAAAGGGTTTCGGTCTTGGAATGACTTGTATAGCGGTTTGTCGTAGTCACTTTTGGGGAACGATTGTGATGCTGGAAATGGGCTTATCTTAGCCTCCTCCGGGCTTTCCTGGTCCGGGGTGTTTGTAAAGGGCGCTACAACAGTTTCCTCGGGCTTTTCTGAAAGAGTTTCTACCGAGTTTCTTTTAGCAAGGTTTGGACAGGAAGCAGTGTCAGGGCGTTCAGGTTTTGTTAGCTCTGTCCTCAGATTTCTGACAAATTTGAACGGTAAAATATGTTTTGAGACAATATTTGAAAATTTTGACTTTGTGTCACTGGTTCCCTTTTCGATGGAACTATTTTTGTCGGGGTTTTTTGATCGAAAGAAAATATCTTTTAGAGATCTGGGTCGTCGGGAAGCAAACCGTTCTCGTTTTTGGTCTGTTGAAGATTTGCTGTTGTGGGCGGAGTCTGCGGTTGTGCTGAATATATCAGAGGACTTTTTGATGGAAATTGATGATGACTGGGAACAAAGGGAGAATGATGTAACTTCCGGTAACTCATTCAGCCGCATACGTCCATCTGTCGACATGATAAAAACATCTGTAAATAAAAATTAATGATAAACATACTGTTCGTCAATTTCCTCAAGATAGATTTTCTGATTCAAAATTGCAAAAGATTAATTAAATAAAGAACAGTAAAGATTTATATTTTACTGATATGATTTCGCATCAAGGTACATATTATGTGCAAATGCCGTTAAGTAGACATTTCGTAATAATTTTTATAGCAGTATATACACTTTCTACTGAACGTTAGTAATACCATTTATATTTAATGTTGAGTATAAATTTTTTTATTTATCTTTATTCATAATCTCACTGACAATTCTATTTGCATTTGAATAAGGAAGACAACTCCTACATTGGAAGTATGCAAATGATTATTCCCCTTGGATGATTAATCTAGTTGAACTTTGTTAATATATAATAAACACGTTTACTAAATGATTATGAGAAAATACATACCAAATATTTTTAAGTCGAGTATAGCGATATTAAAGATATACTGTAAAACCTCTGATAATTTACATTTTCTATGAAATCTTGATTTTCTATTTAGACTTAACGGGGGCGATTATTTTTTGCTAGACAATTACAAAGTGACGTTATTGTAGTGAGAAAATTAAATTCCTTTAATGTAGGTGTTTTTAAAGCTTGAGTTCCCAACTTGTTAATTTGGTTATCATTTCCTGGAAATGTGCACATTTCCAAGGAACCGCTGTTCTAATCTTTAGAGACAACTACATTTTGGATTAATTTGAAAGACAATTGACGATTACGCTTGATATTTTCCAACTATCAAATTTCAAGTCCAGACTTGAAATTTTTGTAGGTATTTTTTAGGAAAAGCACTTTTGAATTGTTATTTGTAACAGTGTGATAGTTTCCACGTAGATCTTGGTATTTTCCTGAGGACTTTGTAAACTTTTTCTGCTATCTTTTCGTGATTAACAGGTTTAGCAGTTAGAAAAACAAAAACAATTCGACAAAATTTCCAAATAGGGTGTTTATTTTCCTCTACCTGTTTATTTCGTATTCGTGTGAATTTCATGTTATACATGTTATAATCCACAAAGAAAATTTTTGTCAATTTTATAAAACATCAGACGTATTTGAAAACGACTCAGCTGTATTTTTATATGATATAAAAAGTGATCAACTCTGATGAGTACGTCGGGCACATTCCATTTGATTTATTAGCTCGAGTGATAATTAGCTGTATAAAACATTACGGGATTAGCCCTATAAGCTTCTAGGCTGATCATCATCCATAATGATCGATGTTATGCAAAGCCATTCCACCCTCAGTCAACAAGATTGTAATATATGAGAGGGAGTCTGACCCGCTAAAAGCTAATACCATCTGAGGTTAACGCTCTTTCATTTCCCAGAAATTCAGTGTTCTTAGCAATACGATTGTGCTCACCTGAGTCAAGTCATCTGATCACCAATATATTAAGATTACAGTAACAATTTATGGCGACATATCGTATCAATCTAGCAAAGTTTTAAAATTAACATAATATAATGGAGATAAATCTTCAAATTCTCTTTAATGCAGAGAGAGAGAGAGAGAGAGAGAGAGAGAGAGAGAGAGAGAGAGACAAAGTAGTAGTAGTAGTAGCATAAATATAAACTTAATATGACTTAGAGAATATATGTTGTTGCCAATAACCTTAACGTGTGTCATGCTCTTCAGGCAAGGTCATATCTCTAAGGTCAAAGGGTATCGTCGATAATATATGTACCAGGCTCAGGTAATAATGACCAGGGTTATATGTAATTGCAGAAGGGAAAGGTATTCTTTTTTTTTTGTCCAATAACTATATAGCTCACTAAGATTATACCAAGACAGTAAGAAAATGTATAGATTTATTCAGGTGATTTTATTTTATGTTATTATTTTTGGTTTTAATAAAACTGATGCCTGTAATTCCTTTAGCTTTTTTTTCAGATCGATGGAGATTAGTTTTTGAAAGCTTTTTTTTTTTTTTTTTTAGAAGAAAAGCGTAATTAATAGGCAAATTTTCCCTCTTTTTTTTTTTTTTTTTTTTTTTTTTTTTTGTAAAACAAGTTCATCAACCCAAACTATAAGTAGTAAAATACAAGTTCATCTTAACGTTACAATTTTGCACGATTCTTGCTTCATTTAATGTTGATATATGAGATGGCGATTGAATTTCACCAACTAGCTATGTGTGAGTTTTCGATTGGCGATGAAATATAACAGATGTACGTGTCTAAACCGATAAATAATAATAAAAAATACAGGGGTGAAAAAAATCGTGCAGTTTGAGAAAAATGAACGGTTTTGAATATCTTCATACTTCTGGACTTTACTGCAAAAATTCTGAATTATCTAGTTTTGACTGGAGTATATTTATTGAACAATATTCTTAAGTTTTCAGAGATGACACTGACAACCTATGGACATCCACTTGCATCTAATAAGCTTAGCAGAGAATCTAGTTGTAATTTTCGAATTAATTCCTTTCTCTGAACTCAGTAATAATCTAGCTTCAAACAATCTCTTATCCCTTTCAGATTAACTGAATGACGATCAGGTTGCTCTCCTCCTTCAGACTTAAGTTGTTTCATCATGTTCATATGTGACCAGGAACATGCAATCTAGGTATGCAAAAGAGTGCATTGACATTCGCTGTATTTTATCGCTGAATACTAAATACAAAAAAACCCATACCGATTTACAAATAGATTCTGTATAGGAAAGTATTTATAGCAAGCGCAGAGGGCACTTAAGCAAAGCCTGGGCGAAGAGAAAATTCGGGAGGTGCACATTTTTGACAGTAGGAGTAACATCGGTACCCATAATTCCCCATAAATTGCATATGGCTACCCATACTACATTCTCCTGAAAACGAAACAAAAATTCACAATGAAAAGTGAAATTCACTTTGCTTAATTGAAACTTCAGATTGACAGTAGAATAAACGCCCATTGTTAAAAATCTTCACATTTTAGAATCTGTTATGAAAATTCTACGACTAAACGATGTTATGTGACTTCATGGTTAAGATCTTCCAAATGTCTTGTGGTTTGAAAAGGCGGATCTAACTTAAAACTGAATGGGTTTCCATGCAACAATAAATACACGACTGTGCTCGCCCCAACGGTCACACCTTCAAAGTGTCATTGAGATCTCCTTCGAAGTTATAAAAATTGCTATATATATGCTATTTAATGCGTTCCTTTATAATCATTCAGTTGGAAATTGTAAACATAATTAAGATCCTAAAGATTCTTTTAGCAAAAAACAATCTACCGGGAAAAAAAATTGATACAGCTTGAAAATAAAAAGTACAATGTACCTATAAAAGACTTTTACATGTATATTGCATATCTTACTGAAACGTTATCTATATTTATACAAACTTAGGCTGTCCCCTACAAAACAAAGAAAATGAACTGAAGTAGAATTTTTCAATGCTAAAAAAAAATGAATTTAAAAATAAGAATTAAGTACTATACTTATAGTAGTACAATACATCCAAATACAAATATTCATTCCACGTGAAAAAAGTCATTCCTAAATGAAAACACTTTTTAAAGTTTTATGAGTTTATTAATGTTGTAATAAATCCTAAGTAAGTATTAAATGATAATTAAAATATCTCAAATCGTAAAATGCTTCAAGATTAAACAGGAATATAAGTAAATAAACGTGTAATTGTGAAAAGTTAGACTGGACTTAGAAAGGGAACCTAGTTTATTACTGTAAAACCCTAAACTTTTAACAAAACCAAAATAATCATGTTTCAGATTTTTAATTGACAAACTAAGATACAGATGTATGTCAGAAAGTACAAATGGAACCTTGAAGTTTGTTTTTGGATAAGTGGAGTAGAAAATGGCTTTAGATACTCTAGCTAAATGCATAATTTTAAAATAATAACCAATAAATATCAGAGATACTAGGATACTTAACCAATCAGAAAACAGCTATCTTAAGTACTACAGAAAGGCTATCAACATGCATGGATGACACTTCTTGCTGTGCATCAATTGAAATATTTACATATCTGTGGCATCTACACTGTAAAAAATGTGCTTAGAAAATAAACACTTCCATTACGTGTTTAGATCTAAACGTGTTTGATATTACGTTTAACAACAAAACACTTATGTCTAAATGTATTTAAAATCTATACGCGTTTAGATATTGAACACGTTTTTTTTTTTTTGTTTTTAATTCGGTCAAGTGCAGAGTTATCTTCCCGGAAATGATACATATTTGAACGTTAAAAAGCGCGGTTGTCGAAACAAAGAAAATCACAACAAAACAGTAAACGATGTTTTCAAGAAAGCTGATGAAAACTTGAGTGCCAACCACCGCAGAAATAGTGAAATACATGTGAAAGGCTTATTAATATTGCTATAGGGTATGTATGCTTTTTGTTTATATATAAAATGAACATTATGAGCAAAGTAAACAACATTGCACTTTATATCAAGGATGTCTTTCGGTGTCATATAATGTATTCATTAATGAGAGTAAATATTGAATCTATAGTTGCAATAATATTGATTTAAACATTTTTATTATATGCTTAGTAATTAATGTATAACTTCAGCATGTTCAGTGAGGAGCACATACTGTTACTTAAATGCAACGTACATCCTTTCTTACAGATTAACTGGATAGGATAGCCGAAAGAAAGAACTTCAATATTCATTTCTGATAATGGATGTGAAAGATGAATAAATACTTTCAAGATTATCCAGACACTCTGCTGTTTTGTTTACATCACGACGGATTTGAAATAGTGAACCGTATTGCATCACACTGCAAGAAGCACACCATAGCTGGAGTCTTTTAAATATATATTTACTTTGTATTGTGCTACTGGTACAAAATGCAGACAATTCAACAACTTGGATGTTACTAACTCTTTAGATGCCAGATACTTTTATACGTCAAAACTTTTAAAAGACTTTGTACAAACAAGGAAAACCATTCATAAGTAAAAGTTCCACCGAACAATGATCCCGTGAGAACACTTTACTGTGTGTTAGGGCTTTCTTTATCATTTTAATATGATGTTTAGAAGTAAATAAAGCTTAAAACGGACAAACCTGTTAAATTTTTAGTTTTCCTGCAGATCCTTGTTTAAAATATTGAAGTGTTTAGCTTCTAAACGCGAATCTAAAAGTGTTTAGAATTGTGTTTAAACTCTAAACATGTAAGTATTTAGGTTTAAAACACTTTCCATGACGCGTATTGAAATTCAACATGTTTAGAATTTAAACGCATTAAAAAAAGTGTGACAAGAAAGTGCTTAGAAATGTGTCTATCATCTAAACACATTTTTTACAGTGTAGAGATTAAACGGAAGAATGAAAGAACAATGTGAAACAAATTTATTTAAGAAATAAATAACAAGTTTAAAAACTTCAATGGGAATTGAAGTGGGTCGGTCACGTGATCAAATCCTGTGAAGGCCGAAGGCCTTCTCAGAAGATTTGATCACGTACCGACCCACTTCAATTCCCATTGAAGTTTTTAAACTTGTTATTTATTACTTATATATACATTTGAGACGGACAATAGAATGTAATCGAATATAAATATTGCACTAACTGTACGTCGTAGATTTTGACAAATTACGCTAGGTGCAAATCGGCTTGAAAAGCGGTTACGCTTCAAATTCATCTGGCAAAGGATTCTGTTTTGAAGGGAATATTCTGTGAAAGGCTACTTGTGATCAATTATAGTGAGCATATTGGTGTCTTGGAATTTTTGTATTCATGAGAACCCATATTCGATGTTAAAAAACACAAGAAACACGTCCGATGTTTGATAATAAAAAGTTGGAGGAATTTCGGTCGGAAAGGGATGGATGGAGACACTTGTCCGGGCCAGATAACTTGAAATCAAGTACAAAATTTGATCAAAAACGTAAAATCTACGATTTCAGTAAGGCATATTTATTAATTTATGATGTTGACATGGAGACACTGGCGACAGCTGACATTGTTAAGACAACGTCACAACGATCTCGATGATGGAGGTGTGCCTACCGAACTTCCAAAGTGCAGTGTTTGTCAGCTGTTTGTGGCGTGATTGCATTACATTGATATTTTTCAACAGATTTTCAAATTTATTGTGAGTATAAAGTTTAAGGAAAAAAAAATTATAGCATTCAGAGGTCTGCGAGAAAAATAAGGGTAAACGTTGAAACTATGCAGCTCAGACATGGAACTTATAACATGTAGTTTTCTATTCTCTATGTAAAACCGATCAAAAACTGTATTAAATACTCGTTTACATTGTAAATAAAATGATTATTATTTTACTTGCGTATTTTGTACATTTTTATGCATGAAAAACATGCTATATTGCTTAGTGGAGTCAGAGACATATATAATAGAGTATGATATGTCTCTGGTGGAGTAAGTCTTTTTATGTAGATATTACTGCGCTGTGTGATTAGGTCACGTAATGACCTATGACCTTCGAAAAACTTCATACAGGTATGAAGATATTTGCTCTCTGCATGTTTATATAATAGAGAGATACCACAAATGTATATATTGATGTTTGCATATTCCATGCTTTGTCGTGTTTTAGATACGAATATAAAATCGTGCGAAGTCTACGCTATAGGTGAGGCAGACGACGAGAAAAGAGTTTCAAACCTTCTCTCTTCTTATGTATCAGTCGAAAACGAGATATCGAAAAACTGCTCATAGAGACAAAGGGTTACATTATCAATAACATGTAATGCTCATTAGAATACGCATATAGGAAAAGTGTGTGTCGATCCCAGATTTAAAAAAAAACAACAAAAAGATAAGGGGGATTAGATACCCCAAGTGCCTGTGCAAGGGGAGTAGGGATGGCAAGGATAGGAGTGCAATGAAAGGAGGGGTTAAAAAGTTGAATGTTTAAGCTGGAAGGTTTGGAAATCACATGAAGGTTTTTCCGTTTTTATTGAGTGCCAAAGAATATATTTTAAACTAATATTAACAGATATTAAACTTAGTATTCTAACATCTTACACTGTATGTATTGAACGTGGATCTGGACTCTTAGCTTGATCGCATTTTGATTATGTTCCCGTCAGGTGATATAGATTTCAACAGGTACAGTTCATTTTTACTTTTATTTAATGCAAACAAGATCAGATGTGCGAATTTTTAACATGTTCCAAGTCAAATATTATATAATGCTGTTTCTTAAAATAAGTAAAATCGTGAAAAGAAATTTCCTGGCGACGATCGACCAATCGAAAACATTGAAATCCCGATACTAAAATGTCTCCGTAGTCAGTACACTTATGAAGGAACTGGAATCCCGGATCTACCCGGATTTAAATATCGTCTGCTTGTCATCGCTTGCCATTCCGGAAATGAAAGGCAGTGCTTTGATAGCAGATAATTCCGAGCACTTAGACTAATTGATACGACCATCTGTCAGTGTACATCATAGTAACATGCAGTTCATGTTAACGCAAGAATTAATTAACGTGAGTATTGATGTAAAAGGTGCAAATGAAAGACAAAAATCGGAAAAGCAAACTTTGTCAAAAGAGCATGAGAGCGATCACTCGGTGTGTTTCTATAATTTTTCCGGTCGTGCGATGAAAATCTCTCGCGATTTGTTAACTGAGAATTTAATAGCAAACAATATTACGAAATTTTCAAGTATTATCAGTAATCCCCGTGTGGTCGATGTATCTTTGCAATACTGATTCAAGGCTTCTTTATATGAAATATTTTTTATATCGTGAAGGCTTTTTTTTTTCTATTAGAAGCTGTTGCATATCATATTCTTGTCTATAAATCCATAAAATCGTCATACAATTCTACACTTTTTTATATTAAAAGAAATGCAATCAAAACTGTCCAAGCTAAAGAAAAATGTTGCTAATCTTTTAAAACATTACAGATTCTTAATATTAAATATCGGGTATAATGTTTGCATTCGTGATTCTATTTATAATATACGTACTGGTCATCTCCCAAAACAAATGTGTACGGGTAATTTCCAAAAACGTTAATATCAATAACAGCACATGATCGAGTCTCTCTCTCTCTCTCTCTCATTTATTGCTGTTTACAATTTTTATTATTCTGTCAACCGAACCAGCCAACGTGGATACTTATACCACGTGAAATACCATGTAGCTTGTTATTCCGACATGATAAATGCATTAAAAATACATGTATATGGAAAAAGATCATTTAATTTTGTTCCGTTTCTTTTTTTTTTTAAGTCTCCCGAAATTACTGAAATAAGAAAACTATCCTATACCATTTTGAAATTTGAGAGAAAAAAATCTGAGCGAAACAGAACCATGATAATTATTAGAGGTTTATAACATTCTAATAACGAGGAATAATCTTATTTACAGCACGCAAGCTGAGGCTTTGAAATAATATATCGCTTATTTATATACATTTTTAAATCGATTAGTGTATAACAGAACATTATCGTAATAATAGGTAGCAGCATTATAATTATTATTATACACGCAACAAAGATATTTATATTCACAGTTATGCTAAATTAATTTTTCGCATTCCATGTAGTCCGGAATTTTATTTTCCTTTGTTGCAGATGGCAAAATATGTATATGTAATGGTAAGAAATCATTTTTCTCAGCGGAATATATATATATATATATATGAAATTAAATGAAATCACATTTCTTAATGCATACTGTAATGAATGAATGCTTGTTATATCATTTTTAAAGAGTAAAAATTGCCGTTTACTGTATGGCAAAAAAAGTTATCATTTTTCCTTTGTTCGTCTGAATTATCATCATCATCATCATTATTAAAGTCGGGGGGGGGGGGGGGTTACTCCCTAACTCTATCAAAGAGCAAAAATAAACTGTACTTGATTTTGAGGACGGATCCTTTCATTTTATTCTCAAATTGCACATTAATATTTTAAGGTATTTGAATTTTTAATCATACGGAAAGAATGATGGTTTAAATTCATATTACGTCTAAAACAAATGCAACCCCCCTCCCCCCCCCCCCCCAGCCGAGATTAAATATGTACATGTGTGCAGCTCTGTATTGTGGACCAACAATTGAAAGCTTGCAAAAAATACCTGAAGAATTCTGAACCATACAATCCCATTTTAAAAGGAAGTATACACTTACTGTAGAAAAATTAAAAAATATAATATTTTGACCGACCTATACATTTGTATAAATCTTATTGTTTATTTTAAATGAAATAGCACTCACTTTTTTATTATTCATTTATTTTTTTCTTTATAGGCACAATGAAACGTTTTATTTTCTCAGAAAATGATAACAATAAAAATTCCCAATGCCAAAATGAACACATTAAAATTTATCCAGCATAAGTAAATAAAACGATCAATAGTTAACCATGTGGAATACTGAATTTATAGCTCATTGTTAACAATAAACCATGAGGTTAATCATAAACAAACAAGTCTAAACCATAGCACTCTGAAATATAACAAAATAAGTCACATCACGACTGAAACTGACCAAAAACTCCTGTCTTAGAAATATAAAGAACAACATCTTCTATTGTTTTTTGCCTTACCTCGTAAGGTTTTGGTACCTTGCGTTGATTACCTTGAGAGAGATGTTGAAACAATGGCGACCGCGCCCCCGGCCGGCAGTACGAGTCGACGAGAGATAATAACAGTATAAAAATCGATCGCACTCGGAATCACAGATACTAGTAATGACTACCTGGACGATTTCTCTGCTTAATGTCACCTTAGATATTCACAGTTTGTTTTCCATGGTAAGTCATCTCCAAGTTACAAGATATATAACACTAATCAACAAACCAATTAACAGATTTTATCCTTGCAACGTTTCCAATTAAGAACAAATATTTTCAAACTACAAAATAAGAGATTATAGATGCTTGGGCTTCTGTCGTTGACGGACTCAGGTCTGCGATGACAATATTCGATTTTGCCACCGAAAAATAGTTATATACCTGAGGAGTTATCGAATCAATGTGATGGATCGTTTTCATATTCACCTGAGCTTCAGAGAATCAAACAGGCCTGGTTATCCAAACTATATTTTTTTTAGTCTCAGTTAACGTTAAGTAATTCGTTTCTTTTCTCCGCTAATTGCATTCACTTTTTTGCCCTCTCTACTTTCTCTGTATCAGTAGCGCAATACGTGAGTATCAATAGAAGAAAGTACGTATTTTTAGTCTCTTATCAATTTATTTCCACGATGTTCTTTAGCGTTTAAATGATATCAGTTAAAAGGCAATGATGATTGCATGCTTTTTTTCAATTTGAGGACTTCAGGAGAGAGAGAGAGAGAGAGAGAGAGAAGGTTCTAAACCATGCCAGAATATGTGCAGGATATATGTGTAAGTCTTAATTAAAGCTCCATATAAAGTCAGTTTAAGAAAAGAAACTTCTTTTGGTCACTGACTATTTTGACTTGTTCTGTTTTGTTTTTAATTCAAATAATTTCTGCATGTTGTATAACTGTCATCCAACAAAGTTTTTATCTAAAATAGAACACTTGGTGTCATTATAAATACTAGATACAATGCAAACACAGATGTGCAAGTCATCTCAATTATTTATGTCACATGATCAGTCATTTAGAGTCATCTTCTATATTTGGAAAAATTACGTAACTATTGGTCATTGACAGTGAATTTCTTTAGATTCATAAAAAAAAAAAAACCTGAATGGGTCAGTGGTGTAATGCATCCTTAATTAATCACTTCCGCTGATAATTCTAACTAATTAACTTTATAAGATTTTAAATAAAACTAAAATATTTATTTAATTTTTCATTCATTGATTTTTTTTACGGCCACTATAGGAATGACGAGTTAATTTTAGTTTTTACCTCTCACCCCCCTCCTCTCTCTCTCTCTCTCTCTCTCTCTCTGTAAAAGATATTACATTCTTACTAATATCAGTTTTTACCTTTTAATCTTAAGATCTATTTCAAAGAAAACCCGGCGTAATATTTGTTAAAAAATTATATTTTATTAAAAATATATCATTATACGAACAAACAAGAAAAAAAAAATAAATTAAAAAAAAAAACAAACCAAAACAAACAAAGAATGAATCAGTTAACTTCATATAAACGAGTGTTTGTATTAGTATTACGCCAATAAAATGATGAATAAAGGAGAAAAGTTCACAGGCAGTCTCTGTAATAAATTTTTGACTCGTAGTATAATATATAATAACACAAGGTATCCAACTCCGTATTACACGGAATACCCCCCCCCCCTCCCTCAGAATCGCACTAATTTACAATTTCAGAGACATGCACTGGCAAACTGTTTATACCTATGTCTTCTACGGTAATTTATCTACAAAACCATATATGGCATGCGTGTCTTTATTTTCTTTTATCCCCGGAAATAGCGTCAAAACTCTGCTCGCCGAGTGGAAAAGTCGGACTCAACCATGAAATGCTAATCCCGGGCAGAGAGCAAAATTAAAAAAATGAGTGAGTTTAAAAGTTCAATTCCAGTCTTTAAATATTGCAGTGAATAAATAAAATTTGTTTACCTCTCATTTTCCATTAAAGCACTACGATATCTTTCCGATGTAATTTTAAAAACAGATTTTTAGCCAATCAAAATCTCTGCCCGGGATTAGCACATACCATTTCATGGTTGAGTCCGACTTTTCCACTCGGCGAGCAGAGTTTTGACGTTGTTTACGGGGATAAAAGAAAATAAAGACACGCATGCCATATATGGTTGTGTAGATAAATTGTCGTAGAAGACATAGGTATAAACAGTTTGCCAGTGCATGTCTCTGAAATTGTAAATGAGTGCGATTCTGGGGGAGGGGGGGGGGTACTCCGTGTAATACGGAGTTGGATACCTTGTGTTATTATTATACTATGGTTCAAAAATTTATTACAGAAAAAAGTGCCTGTGGAAAAGTTACTGCATTGATTATGACCGAATTATGACGTTGTCAGCACCTTCATGGCGTCAAGTCATGTGATCAAAACATGGCGGCGCCCATAAATAAGATCAGAGTATTGTGTATATGTAGAGTAGTCTAAGCACAGAATATCATTTAAAACGAGTAAATAATTCTTATCAAAGTTATAAAACAAAATAGTACGTTGGACAAGAACTCCAACGTGATAAATGTATACACTTTTTACTTTTGGCAACTGATATCCTGGCGCATTCGCTTGAGGATATTGAATAATAAACACTTTTTTGTCAGAAATCAGCAATAAATCTATTACATTTATACATGTATTTGTATAAATAGCTTGAACCATGTTTTGCAAAATGTTTGTGGAAATTTTGTAAGATTTTGTTATAACGTCAAAAAGGTATGCAAAAATATTGAAAATGGCACAAAATGGCATGTTTGAATGCCGAAAAACCCAACGATTTCTTTATAATTTAGGAATCTATTATTTATATCATTTCTATTCAAAATCAGTCAAAAGGTACATGTATATATCAATCCATGCATCAAATATTTTGCTATTTTGTATCCTTAAGCACTGATCTATCGCACTGGGTCATAATATAAATTCAATACAAATAGAATAACACGCATTAACGCACTATCGCATTAGGAACATTCCGTATACTCTCCTCTTATGAATTATAGTATTTTTTCAGATTTTAATGTAAGAAAAGAAGATGGGTGAACAAGGCGTGCAGAATGCCTATAGCTTCAGATATTAATAAAATCATATTCAATTTGTGAATTAGGTATTCAAAATAAAGTTCTCATTATTGAAATTTATGAAATTATGATCAACAAAACTTTTCTGAGAAAAAAGATCTCGGAAAAAATTATTCTTTTATTAAAAAAAAATAAAATGGTATTCGTGGGATTCGAACCCCTAACAATAAAAATCCGGAGTATCATATTGATTTTGAGACTAACACGCTAACCACTACGCCACGCAGCTCCTGACGAATAGTGGCATTTAAATCATGTTTGTGATATGACCCTAGACTTAATGGACTTCAAGTATTTCTCGGAAAGATGCGAATGCTTTGTCATAAAAGTGTACTTTTAAGGTATAGTGGGTCTTTGCTCCATGTTTTTGTAAATCAAAAAATGTATATTTTTATGCAAACTTTTAGGATCAACTTTCTAAAAAATGGAGCGAAGACCCACTCATATCGAAAAAATTTGTTAAAGTGTGAAAAAATGATCCTTTTTGTCCTCTTTAGTGAGTGTATGCTATTTCGTAGGCAAATAATTTCAGTCTTTGTGAGATTTTTGTAAATTGTAGAGATTCGCATAAAATATACTTTAATATTAGATGAAATATCAAAGAAAATTTTTATATTATTGAGATTTTATTTTTCACTTCATGTTTGTCGCACTATGGGCACTTCGCCCGCCTTGTTCACCCATCTTCTTTATCACTTAAGGATATCCGATCCTCAGCCAGGTAGGATAACTCTTAAATTTATTATTTTATTTAAAAAGTCTCAAAATGAAGCTTGAAATTGGGATCTTTTCATGCAACAATTGTCATTTTATGCATCTCAATAGGATTCAAGGTTCTTTGAAGTCTTAGAAATGGTCTTGTAAAAAGTAAACTTTGTACCCAAATATAGAAACTGAATTTACTTTAATCTGGCATTAGATGCCAATGCTTACTAGACAAGCATGATATGAAATTACACATGATATGTGATATCTAGCAATGATAGCACAGGCTTCTTACACTATGTATTATATAACAATTGAAGAACTAAAATACTTTCTTCAAATGCCTGGATGCCTAAATTTTTTTTTATCCTAAAATATATTTGTTGATCAATTTTTAATTAGAAAATGCATAGCTGGTGGTTTTATTCGCATTTCCTGAAAATATTTTTGAGATTTGACAATTTTCCCTATATAATATGATTAACTCTAATGATGAACTTTGAAGAAATACCATGGGTAAATTCATGTTACTTTCTGAAACCAGAGACATTTTTGGGAGCATTTTCAATTACTTAAGAGCTGATTTTCAGAACCTGAGGATCGGACTACCTTAATATTGATGTTTAAGTTTTTCGACAATTGGATAATTTTTATAGTAATTTTCCATATCCTGTGTCAGTCTCGCATATGCGTGCACGTATCACACATGCAGCGATAAAGGCATATATCCTGTTTCAGTCTACCATACATATGCACGTATTACACATCGATAAAGGTTTGAATTAAATCTCAAGATATTTCTAATACATTGCCTTTCCTTATTTAAAGACACGAAATATTAATTTAATCCGAGACTTGTGTGGGACTTTATAATTGAATTATTGCTCACCGTTGGCGAATTAGCTGTCTTAGGAATAGTTATTTTTTACGCTGAACTAAGGAGCATTGAACCCAAGATTTATTTATGCTTCACAGGACAAAGTGTAATTATGTGTTAAAGATTGTCGTTGAAAATCACGTAGCTTTATAGCATTTCTTAGCGCAAAACCAAGGAGACGGAGAGAAAATTGCTTTGTTTATTTTCTCTATTCAAAAAAAAAAAAAAACAAACAAACAAAACAAAACAAAACAAAAAAAAAAAAAACAAAAAAAAAAAAACAAAAACAAAAAACAAGTCAATTCGTTCTATATTTCATTAAAATTAATTTCAATAACCTTATCGGCTGATGGTAAAATTTACTGAAATCTTTTTCATGATTTTATTAGAATTCATCTTTTTAGAAA